AAATAGCCAACAATTTGCAATTATATATATGTATTTAGTGATTTCCTGTAAAGAGGGAAAAAAACCTCTAAAAACTAAATTTTTAAGCATTATTCAAAGACACTGTTCCATTTTTTTCTTTTTTACTATCAAAACTATATCAATTTTCACATATCAATCAGTAGTTCAAAAGCATAATTTCTAAGCATATAATTCCTTTTTTTTTTGTTTTGCTTGTAGAAAGATGGTCTGTATAAGCAAGAAAAAAAAAAACACTTAGTAAAGGGCAATAGACTCTAATAAAATCATTATAATAGCGAGGTTGAGGCCAAAGTTTTAAACGCAAAAATGTATACGTCAGATATTCAGCACCGCTTTCCTGTAAGCCTAGAAGTTTGGCAATGGTGTTTGGATAGTTAGTAGAATCATGCTCAACATTCCAAACACCATTGTCACAAGCTTCTAGGCTTACAGGAAAGCAGCACTGAATGTCCAACGTACATGTTTTTGAATTTAAAACTTTGGCCTCAATCTCACTAATCATTCAATTGGAATAACTTATAGACATGACTAAATTTATCACAAAATGAAGCAGCTGCTTTAAGCTCCACTTTTAAAGAAGCTTAATACAGTAGAACCTCGAAAACTCGGCTCTCGATAACCCGGCACTCCGGATAACTCGGCCACTCCCTGGCAGGGCAAAAAAATCCTTAGTTAATTAATTTTCATTATAGACAGCTTTATAAAAGTATAAAAGCTCTCATAAAGTATTTTTCTGAGGTCTGTCTTATCAGAAAACTTTGTAAATTATAGTACACAGTGTATTTATTAATTTTCATTTTCATGTAGGCTCTATGCCTTCATAAAGGACGTACTTTTCCTTGGTTTAGGGGTATTTGAGCAGTTTATTCTCTGTTATATTCTCAAGTAAACAATACATACAAGTACAGTACAGTATTTTCTGAGGAAACACTCGTACTTATTTTTTTAACCCCATTCCCGATAACCCGGCATTTTCACAAACTCGGCCACCCTTCGGTCCACATTAGGCCGAGTTTTCGAGGTTCTACTGTATTGGATGGTTATGAAAGCTTAGCTTCAGCTTTCTGCCTTGGGGACTTAAAATTAAATCTTGGCTACAACTATTTGTGTATTCTCAAGTACCTGTGGTCTCTGTAGAATTCCACATTGTGTAGCAGTTGGATTCAGTTGAATCTGCAAATAGCTGTGTAACTCCAAATGAAAGGAATGCTACATACAGTGTATATCGATCCCACAGCTCAACTTCAGATCAATCCTAGAACAACACATCTTTCAGTCTCAATGCTCCCATACACATACACTTTATCAACTTTTTTGAATGAGTATGAATATTTATGTAATCATGAATAACTACATATTACAAAGTTCTTGAAATGCATAGATCCTGCAATATTCAAGACTAATTTATGTACTAAAAGTCTGAGATTGTTTGGTTAGTTGCATTTAAATACAGAAAAAAAACAGTGCAAAATAGCATGACATTTTTAAGAATCTCATAACCCAAAGGAGAATAAAACAAAATAAAACAAGCTTCATTAAAATTGAACAACAGATTTGTTAATTATTGTACATTTATATTGTTAATTATTGTACAGCTATATCTGGCAACACTGGCAAAAGTGTTCTGTCGTCAGAGGTTCGTCAATTTGAAATGTTGTAAATAAGTTCCGCTAGTCAGTAAAGTTAAGTAATAAAAGAACAAAAGAAAACGAAAGGTAATGCTTTTTGTCTTAACAAGATTACCAAGTTTTCTTCTGAAGACATCACTTTTTAAAGTTGCCGATTACCGTCTTATAACTACAGTGGTACCTTGTACTCCTAATTTACTTCATTTCAGGTGACTGTTCGAACTCTGAATCATTCGAAGTACGAAACGTCACAGTAATCACTGATTTAAATTGCCCTTCAACCAATATGCACCTGTATTTTACTGATGTTCATCAGGAAAAATATGAATCAAACAACACACAGTGGTTCCTAGTAAGAATCTGACTGGACAAAAGGTTAAAATTGTTGTATATCAAAGCAACCTAAATTATGTCTTAATGTAATCCTAAATAGTTATGTATTTATGAGTAACAATTGGTATTAAAAAGTAATTAACAGAATTTGCGCAGGAGTATGCAAATGTCCCTTATTTAGCACGGCAATCTTTGCATTTTTTTCTGATTTTCTCCTTGTGAACACGTAATAAAGGTATTTGGTAAATAAAACTACATTCGTGTACTCTTAGTTTTAATACATTTAAAAATGTTTACATATTTTTATTCTCTGTTTTGGTCTATGTATTTTTAAGGCCATATTTCTTTCAATTTTTATGGTATTCATTAGTCTTAGGCAGAGCCGTAACTAGCCATTCCTGTGCCCTGTGCAAGAATTTGAATTTAGGCCCCTTAATTTATTTGGTTTGGGAAAATAATAAAACAAATATATTACAATAGACTTTTAATAAGATTTATTTTAATTGAACTTTTCTGGCTTTCATTTCAGCAAATTCATTAATTACATGATCATAATTAGTATTTTTAATGATAATGTATTCTATTGAAATAATAGAAATATTGGACAATCGTTCTTGCCCGATATTTAATCTTAATAAATTTTTTATTAATTTTAACTTGCTAAAACTTCTCTCGCACGAAGCAATAGAAACGGGAAGAGTTAGAAATATTCGAAGAACGACATTGATATTTGGGTAAGACTCAACTAAACCAAAATCACGAAGAGCCTGTAGAATATTAAGCGAAAACGCAGTTTCTATATTTTGTATAAGAGTCGTTACTTCAAACTTAAAACTTTCAATTTCACTTGTGAATTCGTACTTTTTTAAATCTTTGCTATATTTAACAGCGAGATCTGCAGCTGATTTTTTTTAAATCAGCAACACTCATGTATTATAAAGAAGAGCCATAGAGAAAGCAAAAATTAGCCTTTTTCCAGTATCATATTAAAGACCTCGGGGGCCCCTTCGAGGCCGCATAGTTCGCTTACCGCCGTTGAGGTATACAACACATATGGGTACTAATATAAAGCAAAAAGTTATGTCAGAATTTCTGCACGCCTTTTACAACCTCGAGACTAAGATTTTATTCGAGAGTTACCACGTTATCTATTTAGCAATTAAAAAAATCCCCGGGCAGATTTATTTTTATTACAAAATGTTATCTTTACAGATTTCTAGCTCTGCACACTGTAGAAAAATCTAGAAATACAGTTTTATATATCGTAATAATATTAGTCGTCGCCAGAGAGCTCTATAAAGTAGAGAAATATCTATAAATTTGAAAACTATAAACATAAATTTAAATTTCTCAAAAAATAAATAAACAAAATTTCAAAAGTCGGTACTTTTGGCTGATTTGTCTGCTGTCTCCGCTATCTCACTACGTCCCTCTAAAAGTCGCCACGGTTGGGAACACTGGTGAGCAGACATCTAGGGTCTAAATAAGGCAAAATGTAATCACCAATAAAAAGGAGGAAAAATTCAAGATTTAAAACTATAATTTCTTGTGAACAGCAGTTTGGGCCCCCTTCCAAGTGGGCCCTGTGCGAATGCACCTGTTGCACCTGCCTAGTTACGGCTCTGGTCTTAGGCCTGCAATAGCAAAGGTCATTGAAGTCTGTTGTAAAATCATATTCAACATTTCAGTTAGTAATCTGAGTGTAAAAGTATATTTGTTTTATGACCATGTTAAACCAATTTTTCTTTTTTTAATTAAGTTTTTCATGATGAAGAATGTAATTTTAAAAAGAGGACTATTTGAAGTTTGGAGAAACAAACCGAACAATTAAGGCCAGATGGCTGAGCAGTCAAGGTGGCAGCCTACCTCTCTGGGGGATCCGGGATCAAATCTGAATGGATCGAGAAATCCCCAGGAATTTTCGGGGGGTGGTCCGTCCAAATATGTGGGTCCTGTCCCTCACCACCCGGACGCTCCATTGTGGGCCTGGCCAAACCCATAACAGGTTTGCTAAAAGAGGCCCTCCTAGTGCCCACAAGGCAGAAACAGTTTAAAAAAAAAATAAAACCAAATATTTAAGAAGATTGGCCCATGTGTGTGTGATTATGTAATGAGTAAAAGTGGTCTGGAAGATTCTGATGGGCATATTCGTGAATGAGTGCAGAAAAAAAAGTGCTGAATTTTGCATAAAAGCTTTAAAAAACTGTGGACTAACATTTTTTTTATAACTCTTTATGCCCTGTGGGCACTAAGAGGGCCTCTTTTAGCAAGCCCTCTTATGTTGTGGGCTCTGGCCATTATGGATTTGGCCAGGCACACAACAGTGCAGCCGGGTGGTGAGGGACGAGACCGACATATCCGGACAGACCACCCTCCCAAAAAAATTCCTGGGAATTTATCGACCTATCCAGATTCAAATCCGGGTCCCCCAGAGCGATAAATTGCCACCTTGACTGCTCAGCCATTCGGCTGTCAAAGTATTGAGGCTACTCAAGTTGAAGTTGCCAAAACAGTGATTACAACAAGGATAATGATAATCAAATAAAGAAATAAATGTCAACAAAGCCTGTATTTCAAATATATATTTTATTTTATCACAGTCACTGTTCTTTTCATCGCCTTATTTTATTATTTTTGCGTTAATAAAACCAAAATTTTTGAAAATTAGGTTAATTAATGTTTCCTATGGTTCCAAAATGGCGGCGCTTCGGTTAAGTCCATTTCGTTTCCGTTAGATTAGCTACATTTTTATTAGAAGTTAACTTTTTTTTTTTTTTATTTTGTTCAAGAACTACCGTGAATCAATAACTAGTGACGTTTGGCACTAGGCGACTTCCCTCCGGGTAGAGTCCGTCTGGACCACGAACAGTCGGAAGCGCGGCCATTTTGAACCATAGCTAACATTAACCGAAAATTATTATTCGTACTAAAACTTAATAATTCACTGTGTCAATAGTAGACATTTTCCTATATTTTTACCACAAAGAACGACAAAAATAGTTTTGTCAAGCCGCTTACCTGAACCATTGTGCGACGGTCGCAATCAATTAGAACGAAATCTTTAGAACATTCTAGAATATTTCAAATGTCTATAGCCGGACCTTCGAAGTTACGAATAAATAAAAATATAAAGATGCTCATGTAAAACGTGTATAAAAATAATAATAATAATGTAAGAACAAATAATAATAGTCGAGTATGAGCGTTACCCCCAACGAGTTCGTATATTGTTACTGTAACCCCATGTTACATGTTGCGCAATTTGGCGGATTCTATGCAAACGAAGAAAGAAATGCGGACTGGTTTTAGTGCATAGGGTTATTAGACCGCTCTTACCTTTCCTTCTTACAGAATGGTATAATCATATAAAGTGATGCCCCGTATTTCGAATTTCATTCCTTTCAGGAGGCTGTTCCGAAGTCCGAAGCAATTTTTCCCATTAGAAATAATGTAATCAATCCATTCGCAGACGCTACACAATACTCACTTCGATATACTTAAAACAGCAAATAAACATAATTTAAGCTAAAAATAGCACGATTAAATGTCTTATTAATAAATTAAAGCACGAAAACAATAAATAAAACGTGTTAATAATTTATAATAAAATAAAAATTGCATTTACTGGTCTCACACTATCGACTTCGGCATCTTAAACATGGCCGCTAGATCTACCTCTTTCATGCTTTGCGATTAATTTAAGTTCTTCTTACTAGTTAGATTTCGTTGCTTTCACCCACTTCTCGGATGCCATGATTGATAAATAAAGGTTATATTGGATTGAACAGAAAGTTTTTGCATATATTTAACAGTTGTCGTTACTTAACGTAGTCGTGTGATTTAATTAAACAGTTGTGAATTTTAACATGTTAAGACGGAGAGTCAGAACTTTGACACCAGCGCTCGCGTGTTATAAATGGGGTTAAATTAAATCGAAAGTAAACAGACTAACAAAAAAGGAATAATAGGATAGAATTACAAGCGCAGGTTTCCTAGTTCTAATGACATCTCCGATGTATATCTGGGAAAGGTGTTGAATGAAATCGCCTCTGATAGACTTTTTCCCGCGACTCGAATCGATCTTATTTCACCTGGGAACGGGAGATAAGTCCAATCAAAATCGAAAAGTGACAAATAAATCTATGAACCAATAGAATTAAAAGATAGGTGTGCACAAAGTCTGAATATCAAAAAAAAGGGTAGTACTTCTAAACCTGTCTTATCCGACGATTCTGGGTCGTCAGAGCAAAATCGTTATCACTCCCAGACACCGACGATTTCCACTCTCTATCCCGTGCATCTCTACTTTCGAGATTCATCTCAACGAACGCAGTCTCGTCACTGCCCCGGGGCTGTCGTCTCAACTCTCACCGGAAGACGTACATCGAGTGAAACGAACTTCAGAACGAACGTTAACGCTCACTGAAGGAACTTAGCATCCACTGATGTAAGCAACCTTCTTAGTTTAAAATAAACGGGTTTCTCTTGTAAAGGTAACTCGTATCTGTGCCTCCATCACACCACCGACATGCGAAAAAGACTGTTGCTGTTCTGACAGGGAATTAACGATTTCCCCCTTTTCGGCCTTCTACATTCAGAAGCTTATTTTACGCATCGAATGCATTTTTCATTCTGCACTCAGTTCGAACTCTGAAACGAATTTTTTGTCGAATATGACGTTCGAACTCTCAAGTGTTCGAAGTTAGAGTCGTTCGAAGTACGAGATATCAATGTACAGTACACGCTGTAGGCCGTGTTCTGACCAATGAATGAGAGACAATAAGATAATTGAACTAAAAATAATGCTTATAAAAGAAATATAAATTTTGTTAAGGTTTTTATTAATTAATTAATATTTTAAAATAAACATAAATGGTTTTTATCTTAGTATGATTTTAAAGAGATTTTTAATATTATTATTAATTTTTTAAAATTCCGGTAGTGTCGTTATGATTTAAAAAATGGCGGCTGCGAGGTGTTTTCTTGGAGAGAAGTGGTTTACAAATTATGTCAAATTTAGAAATGATCCTTTATTGTTTATAGAAGAATACAATAGATCGAGTGAAGAGTTGTGTTTGGATATGTTAAAAGTGAGCTTTAGTAATTAAATTTATATTTTGACATATAATGTATCGGTTTTACTAGTAATCACTGATCGTAGTTTCTATTTACAGCAAAATATCTTATCTGAAATATGCAGTCATTTTCCATAATTAAACTATACTTTCTTAGATTACAATTAAGACAAAAATATCAATTAAAGCTTTATTTTACTTCGTGTAATCTCTGTGTTGAATCACACTGATAAATCCCAACACCAGTATTTATCAATGTGATTCATATTTATAGTTTTCCATAATAGTCTTTAAATCGAGCTATTAATAATATCAGTCATGGCATATCAATAGTATCAGTCATGTGATGTTTCCGGCAATGTTACCAGCCAAACAAATGCTTTACATTGGTCACTGATCAATGTAGAGTATTTTATCAAATTTACTGTTATTTGGAGTAATAATATCTTGATATCAGATTTAGCTTTGTATAGAGTTGTTATACATGGTGTGCAAAACTGAAGTGACGATGTAATTTTTAAGCAGAGCCATTAAATCGTAGAAAAGGGCTTGTTGCAATCAGTACAATGAACACCCAGTTCGGTAGAAAGGTGATTTATATGCAGTTATCACAGATGATGTGAGAGCACACAAAACGTGTGCAGTCGGTGTGCATTATATCTGAAATGATTATTGTTTCAAGATATTTTATGAAAACTAAAAAAAAAAAAAATAAAATGAATTGAGAAGTTTTCTAAATATTAAAATTATTATTGCTGATCATTTGATCTGAAATTATTATATGTGAAATGATTATTGCAAATTAATTTTATGATAATTAGAAAGAATATATTAAACTTTCCTTACTGTTACAAGATATTTCATGAAAACTAAAGAAATGAAATGAATTGTAAAATTTTCTAAATAGTTTTAAAATTACTGTATTTGTAATCAGTGGTGATATTCGAAATATTTAACAATGGGTTCGCTAACAGAAAATTTTTCCTTAACAATTTTTTTTCTCTCAAATGGTTCATTAGCAAGATTAGCGCAAAAACTGACCTTAAGATATCCATATAAATAAAAAAGATGCGTTCGCAAAATTAAGTCAGTTAAAATTTAACATTGTTTATGCCAGAACTATATTTTTTTTATAAATAATAAAAAAGAGTGTTCAAAATGATTTATTTTGTACATAATTTAATATTTTTCATTCAAAATATTTTATAAACATAAAAATTGGCTTTTTTAATCAGAAAAAGTCACAGGGAAAGCAGTTAAACAAGAAAAACTTTTCTAAATCATTTATTTTATCTTTAGGTATTATTATAATAATAGACAGATGTCATCGTCTCTCGAAATACAATATCTTTCTTATTTCGCTGTTGATAGCCCGACACTATTTATTTCAGAAATCCA